ATGAGCAGTCTGGACTTAAAAAGCGGGTACTGGCAAATTCCTATGGCACAAGACAGTAAACAGTACACTGCGTTCACAGTTCCTGGACGAGGGTTGTTTCAATGGCGGGTGATGCCTTTTGGATTACATTCGGCCCCGGCAACATTTCAGAGAGCCCTTGATAGTGTTATTGGCCCCGACATGGAACCTCATGCGTTTGCTTACTTAGATGACATAATAGTGATTGGACGCACATTGGAAGAGCACACGGCAAACTTAAAAAAAGTTCTTCAACGATTGAAGGCAGCGAAGTTGAAACTGAATGTTAAAAAATGTCAATTTTTCATCAAGGAAATCAAGTACTTAGGACACTTAGTAACACCTCAGGGCATTGACACCGATCCGGAAAAGATAGCTGCAATCAAAGGCCTTCCACCTCCGTGTAACCTCAAGGAATTACGAAGATGCATTGGTATCGCTTCGTGGTATCGCCGGTTTGTACCGCAGTTCTCCAGTATTATTCAACCGCTAACGTTGTTGCTGAAAAAGGGTAAGCGTTGGCAGTGGACAGAAGTACAACAAGCGGCATTTGATAAACTAAAAGAGAAACTAACGAGTGCTCCCGTCTTAGCATGTCGAATTTCAACGAACAGTTCGTATTGCAAACCGATGCCAGCGACTTTGGGCTAGGAGCGATATTAACGCAGACAATATCAGGAGAGGAAAAGGTTATCGCATACGCAAGTCGTACTCTAAATCCTGCAGAGAAGAACTCTACAACCACTAAGAAAGAATGTCTGGCAATAGTCTGGGGCGTACGTAAGATGAAGCAATATTTAGAGGGATACCACTTTGTAGTTATCACTGATCATCTGGCATTAAAATGGCTAAATAGCATTGATAATCCTTCGGGTAGAATTGCGAGGTGGGCTTTAGAACTGCAACAATACCACTTTGAAATACAATATCGAAAGGGAAAATATAACGTAATTGCTGATGCGCTGTCCCGACAACCACAACCCACATTAGCTCACCTAGATGCGAATGATGAAAGTGATCGTGACTGTGGATGGCTACTAAGTTTAAAGAAAACGGTGCAAGAAAATCCTGCGAAATACCCTGATTACATCATTGAAGGTGAGCAGTTATATCGTCGGATCCCAAACAGTTGTAGTAACGAAGGCCAACCGTGCTGGAAACTGTGCGTACCACGTGATTTGCGTCTTCGAGTTTTGAAGGAATGTCATGATAGTGTCACAGCGGGGCATTTAGGTAATCAGAAGACCATTGTTCGTGTTGCGGCTAACTATTATTGGCCGGGGATGTATCGCGATATAAGAGATTACGTAAAAAAATGCTATACCTGTCAAAAGTACAAAGTTTCACAACAAATGAGTGCTGGGAAGATGCTAACCACTATTCCAGAAGAACCATGGGCGACAGTGTGTGCAGATTTCATCGGTCCTATGCCACGATCTGTTAAGGGCAATACGATGGCACTTGTGTTTTTCGACAAATTTTCAAAATGGGTAGAAATTATTCCAATGAGGAATGCTACAGCGTTAGGAGTAAGACGTGCCTTTCGTGAACATATTATGTCTCGATTCGGAGTACCAAAAATTCTCGTCACCGACAATGGAACACAGTTCACAAGCAAAGTATTGAAGCAATTTCTGGAGGAACTGGGTGTTCATCATCAACAGACTGCACCTTATTCACCGCAAGGCAATCCCACTGAACGAGCCAATAGGACGATAAAAACAATGATCGCTCAGAATTCAAAGTTGGACCATCGACGCTGGGATGAGTATATACCAGAAATTACGCTGGCCATAAATTCTTCCGTTTCGGCCTCAACCGGTTATACTCCTGCGTTCGTTACCCAAGGGCGAGAGCTACGTATGCCGAATACATTATACGAATCTGTTACGACTGGCCCAGGTAGGCCAATGGAAACCCCAGAGGAAAAGGCGCGTAAACTATTAGATGTATATGCCATAGTGAAGGGAAACATGGGGAAAGCGGCTCAAGATCAGGCGCGTCACTACAATTTACGTCATCAGGATTGGCAGCCAAAGTGTGGTTCTCTAGTACTAAACAAAACACAACCATTGTCCAACGCACTAGAAGCCTTTAATGCAAAACTAGCATCAAAGTTTTCGGGGCCATATGAAGTCATAGATTTCCTGTCACCAGTCATTGTAAAATTGCGTAATCTAGACACCGATAGTTTGTTGACGGCCCATATTAGTCGTATTAAACCATACTATAACTAGTGGTTTTAAAGAAATAAAGGTAATTCCATACTAATAAATTTTACTTTAATAGGTTCAAAAGACGTATTAGCATGGCAAGAACGGTTGGGCGCGAAAACATAATGTTGGAGAAATCAAATGCGAATATACACCGGTTATGGAAACAGAAGGCAGATCTTGATGAGACATTACGACGACGGCTATGTGTACGCTTTATAGAGTTATTCGGCGAAGACACCGATACAGAAGAAATGGCGCAAACTGTGAACGCAGCTGAAACAGAATTGAAATCTAGCCCCTTGCAGTGCACCTCATGTAGCTGGGATACTGAGGACGTTCTGGAATTAACAGCCTCGCCAGAAGGGTCTGGCGACGAACAAGTTATACCGCAAGCGGTACGAAATTGGGAATGTCCGCCCACGCCTCCTCTGGCAAAAATACTACTCAGATCAACATCAGAGGCATGTGATTCACCGACTATAACTAGTACAGACGGCATAGTAGAAAGTCGAGTGGATGTAAACCCAGCAGCACGCCTGCAGCGACATGGTTTCAATTTGGATAAGTGGTCGAAAGGCAAAAGACACCGGTTTAAAGCCACCTTAGATGGTGAAGTATGTTTGGTAAGAATAGCCAAAAGTGGGCTCATCCGTATAGATCCGTTTCCCGAAAGAAAGGAGGGAGTGTAACAACCCAAAATGTTATAAATTTAAAATTTGAGTGTTACAACATCGTGGGTATGACAGCCTACACAACAAGAAACACTCACTTGAACACATATAATCGACGGTTCCTATATTAAAAAAAAAACAAAATAAAATTTGTTAAGTACGGATAAGCACATCAACTTAACCAACTCACCGCAGCCTCCCGCGATACACGCCACACCAAAAACACAACGGGCTACCCCAGAACAACAGAACTCCAACACTGGGAGTGATAATCATATTTGACCATAGTCCACACTCTATTTTTTATCGAGATTGATTAATATATTATTTATAATTATAATTATTTGATTAATTTGTAATTTATTTTAAAAAGAGACCACGTTGTAAAAAATAGAACAAAATCAAAACAAAACAACACGAGCTGTCAAATGAAGAAAGCTTTTGTGGCAAAGGTGTAGAACTAGGGCGAAGCTTAAAGAAAGAACAAGTTCCAGCTTCCACATGAGAGGGAAAAGTAGAATTCGCCCTAAAGCTAGATTTTCGCTGGTGCATTGCAGAGGGATCAGTTCACGAGCTTCGATCAACGGTCGTTGAACTTTAGCGTACCTACAGCTGGCACCGTTGATCGTTGACGGTATAAAAGTTGCGTACACTTGGAAGAAGGTCTTGTCTGGTTATGTGCGGTCGTGAAAAGGAAAACTCCTGGCGTTAGCAGCAGCGGAATTTATTTAACTAAGACGGCGGTGATATTATCAAAAACAATTAAATAGTCTCAGAAATAGTGTAAAATCGTATCTATAAACAAAAGAATTATTTAAAAATTAAAAATTAAATTATTTGAACCAGTAGAGTTGTAACAATCGAAATTGAATTTTTAAAACTCTTGTTGATAAATTGTGAGTACGCATAAATTAAAATTTTGCACGAAAAGATTGTTTTAAGAAAGACAAACTGATTAAACTAGTAAATGTGTTAATATATAAAATTTAAAACTCTTATTGATAAATTGCGAGTACGTATAAATTGTAATTTTATATGTAAAAATTATTTTCAAGTAAGATAAACGGATTACATTAGTAAATGTGTTATTACATGAATTTAAAGAAAATTTAAAACTCTTATTGATAAATTGCGAGTACGTATAAACTGTAATTTTGTATGTAAAAAATTATTTTCAAGTAAGATAAATGGATTACATTAGTAAATGTGTTATTACATGAATTTAAAAAATTTAAAGCTCTTGTTGATAAATTGTGAGTACGCATGAATTAAAATTTTGCACGAAAAGATTGTTTTAAGAAAGATAAACTGATTAAACTAGTAAATGTGTTACTATATAAAATTTAACACTCTTATTGATAAATTGTAAAGACTTAAAGTAGAGTAAAGAGTACTTAATTTAAAAAAAAAAAATAAAAATAAAACTAAATTTGTATTTAGCTATTTATTTGATAATAAAATGAATATTAATAAATTTAATGAATAAAATAAAAAACTAAACGAGCGAATAAATTGAAAAAAAGTGTTTTATTAAAATAAAAGCAAAACAGGTATAATAGCGAGGGCTCATAGGTATAACTACCGCTTTGATAGAGTTCAACACAAACTAGCTTCTCCTGATCGGTGTAAAATCAAGGTGGGAATCCAGCACAACAACACAAGTGAAAGACACAGGTAAGAAAGATTCAGGGCTTCAACAGTAACTGAATCTCGGTTGTACGGGGTATAACTCAAGTAGCTTTAATAGTCACGTGAGTCTATACCATAGTGTCGGAAACGATAGGTAGCTTTAATAGTCACCTAACGTCTCCGGCCCCTGGGCGCTTTAACAGTGAACAGGGAAGGGCGTGTGATCAGCGACCTGTAATACCACTCACGTAGCTTTAACAGTCACGCGTGCTGGTATTATATCGTGTCTATTTCAGTCAAGTGATTCCTTTGTGTCTGTGATTCCGATTGGTATTCGAACCAAGGTATCTGTAATTAAGAGCAATCAGAAGTGACGGGGTCTCACTAAATAAATTTCTTGTGTGGACCTTGGGGACGGCTGAGCCCAACCCCAGCTTGATACGAACCAAAAAGGGTTCATTACAACATGACGAATAATAGTATAGAGCAAATGAGGTCCAACAGCGTAAAACAGATCAACGATAATCAACGTGGCAAAGTAAATCAAAGGGAACAATTAGACAAAGCTTTTAGAGACAAAAGTAAGCGCAGGTATAAAAGTGTGGAAAAAAATAAGTACATTTGCTATCATTGTAAGAAGCCAGGGCATATACAGAAAAATTGCTGGTACAAAAATTATGAAAATAAAAATGTGAAACGGGAATATCAAAATAGAGCAACAAAGTGGGACCAGAAAAACCAACGTAATATTAATTATTTAGTTGAAGAAAATACGGTAAATTATTTGTGCAATTTACGAAACGAAAAATCAGAACCTTTAGAATGGTCAATTGAAATTGAACAAAACAAATTGAATGTGGAAATTGATTCTGGTGCGTGTGTTTCTGTTTGCCATATTTCTGACTATAATAAATTATTAAAACATATAAAAATAGAACCGATGGTAAGAAATATTAAAGTCCTGACGGGTCAAAACATTGCGGTGGTTGGTCAGGTTGAAGTGCGCGTAAAATTCGGTGGAAAATGTTATGAGCTTAATATGGTTGTTGTAGACTCAGCGCATGCATTTAAGATTCTGTTGGGTAAAAATTGGCTTGATAGGTTGGTACCTAATTGGCGAAAAAATTTTATAGAATCAACGTTGGTCAATTTAGTAAAAGAAAACTGTGAAGTCGATTTTACAAAATATAAACAATTATTTAGTAAAGACAACAATTCAACAATTATTGGTTATGAGGCAGAAATAGACCTTAATGATAATGCTTATCCAATTTTCAGTAAAGCGCATTCAGTTCCGTTTGGCGTACGACAAAAAGTAGAGGAGGAAATCCAGAGATTATGTGCTGAAGGGGTTATGGTGCCAACAACTAGAAGTAAATGGGCGAGTCCCATAGTTGTAGTAAATAAAGGTGATGGTAGCATAAGATTATGTGTGAACTGCAGAAAAACAATTAATCGATTTGTAGAAAATGAGCATCACGTTATTCCGCGAATTGACGACATTTTGGCAAATTTGTCTGGGTGGAAATACTTTTGTAAAATAGACTTGACGGGAGCATATTTGCAAATCAAGGTGTCCGAAAGATCACAAGAATTTTTAACTGTAAATACACATGTTGGATTATATAGGTACACTAGAATGGTGTATGGGTTAAAAACGGCACCACAAATTTTTCAAAAATTAGAAGTGAAATTTTAAAGGGATTGAATAAAGTGCATTCATATTTCGATGATCTTCTAATTAGGGGAGCAAACATGAAAGAATGTGAAGAAAATTTAAAAGCAACTTTAGACAGACTATTAGAGGCAAACGTAAAAATTAATTATGAAAAATGCCAATTTTTTAAAAAGGAATTAACGTATTTAGGTTACGTAATTAATCAAAATGGAATATTGCCATCAAGAGAAAAAGTCAAAGCAGTTTTAGATGCCCCGGCGCCTACAAATAAATCAGAACTAAAATCGTATTTGGGTATGGTTAATTATTATAATCATTTAATACCAATACCGAATTTATCGGCAGAAGTGGATATGGAATGAAAAACATCAAAATATATTCGAAAAATCAAAACAACTTATTGCGAATATTGGCGTTTTAACACATTATGATTCACAAAAACCAATAATTATTTCGTGCGATGCAAGTCCTTATGGCTTGGGAGGCGTTCTGTCACATATTATTGACGGTGAAGAACGTCCAGTTCAATTCGTATCTAGTACGTTGTCTCCGGTTGAAAAGAATTACTCTCAACTTCATCGCGAGGCTTTAGCGATAGTTTTTGCAGTGAAGAAATTTCACAATTATATTTTTGGGTTACCGTTTACCATTGAAAGTGACCATCAGCCATTGCGAGAAATTTTTTCAATTAAAAAAGATCTACCATCGGTAGCAGCGAACCGGTTACAGCGATATGCTGTTTTTTTATCAATGTATGATTACTCAATTAAGTACAAGAAGGGATCGCAAATGGGACATGCGGACGCGCTTTCTCGTTTACCTCTGCAAGAAGATACAAATGAAGATGACGATAGTATTAATATTTTTAACCTTATAGACGACCTTCCAATTAAGATTGACGACATCAAAAATGAAATGTCGAAAGATGTGGCACTATTAAAAACGTACAAATATGTTAAGAATGGGTGGCCAGGGAAAATTGATAATAACTTAAAAAAATACTTTAAAATTCGAATATCGTTAGCAACTGAAGATCAGTGTGTTTTTTATGGTGAAAGGATTGTAATTCCAGAGTCATTGAGACCGAAAACATTAGAACTGTTACATATTGGTCATATCGGAATCGTCCGCATGAAAGCTGTTGCTAGGACATATGTTTGGTGACAGGGTATAGATGCTGCAATTGAGGAGTTCGTCGGGTCATGTGAAGCATGTTGTATGAATCAAAAACAGTCGAAACAAATTTTTACCAACTGGGAAGTAACAAGTGCTCCGTTTGAGCGTATTCACGCTGATTTTTGTAAATTTCAAAATTTGAATATTTTAGTAATTGTTGACACTTATTCGAAATGGCTAGAAGCTAAAATTTTGCGCAAAACTGACGCTATTACAGTCATAGAAGCGTTAAGATCTACTTTTGCTATTTTCGGGCTTCCGAAGAAAATTGTGACGGACAATGGTCCACCATTTAGTTCAAAGGCGTTTATAGAATTTTGCATTAATAATAATATCGAATGTTTAAAATCGCCACCATATCATCCGCAACCGAATGGCACTGCGGAAAGAGGAGTACAAACTGTAAAAAGCGCATTACGAAAGTATTTGTTGGATCCTAAAATTAAATGTAAATCTTGGGATTTTAAAATAAATAATTTTCTTTTGAGCTATCGTACTACTCCAACAACGACAACAAGGATGTCACCAGCAGATATAATTTTTAAATTTAAACCAAAAACTCTGTTAGATAATATAAATCCAAAAATCAAGAAAAATTTTAGGGAAAAAGAAAATACAAATAAATTGGAAATTGGTAAGTTTCAAAATGGAGGAAAAGATAAAGCATTGAGTAAGTTTGAAAATGGAAAGCTGAATTATAGTAAACTCATAAACTTCAAACCCAATGAAACGGTATTGTACAAAAATATTGCAAATAATTATATTAAATGGGTTCATGCAAAGGTGTTTAAAAAATTAAGTCGAATTAGATATTTAATATCCATAAATGGTGTATTCAGGGTTGCGCATATCAACCAAATGAAACAATATAAAGGAAAAACTGTAACTTTTAATCCTAGGGTCCATACTGTAACGACCCAATTTTTCCCTGCACAAAAATTAGGGTTACATAATACCACGCTGCCCTAACGTATTTGTGCAAATAATAATTATAACAATGAAAATTGTAAACAGCCAAAAACAATGCTGCACAGAAAGACTTAAAAAAATATAAGCAGGGGCAAAAATTGTAAACAGCCAAAAACAATGCTGCACAGAAAGACTTAAAAAAAAATATAAGCAGGGGCAAAAATTGTAAACAGCCAAAAACAATGCTGCACTGAAAGACTTAAAGAAAAAATATAAGCAGGGGCAAAAATTGTAAACATGCAAAAACAATGTTTACACATAAAAAAAATGCAAACTTGGTGATAGCGGAATTTAAAGCGTCACCAAGAACAAATAAAAGGCGATGTTTTCCTGAAATCGCTCTCTTTTTCGGTTTAGTTGTGATCAACGTTGGACGGCTCAGTTTTGGACCTGGCGACGGAGGAAAATTTATGGTAGACAGCAAGTCACTGGTGGAATTCTAGAACGTGTGCACAGAGCATACGACAGGTAAGGTGTATCGTACCGGTCTGGGAGCTTTAAAAGTTGTCAGATGAAGGATGTACATGGAAGGCTTCTAAAAGTACTCCATGGACATCCTGCACAAAAGGTACGACTTTACACCTGCGTGTAGTATGGCCCTCAAGGAAACACTGGGAAAAATCATTACAAGGTAACCAATACTGCTGATTAAACTAAAAAAAAAAAAAAAACGGTAAGCATTTTTATCTTGTGCAGTACAAATATATAGGTATTACTTCGAAATTTAAATTGTGTTTATAACTATATCGCTATCGCTTTGAAAGCCTGACTTGCGTGTACAAATACAACTACGGCTGAAATCCAGACTTCGTGGATGTATTACTTCGAAATCTAACTTGTGTTTATAATAATATCGCCAACGCTTTGAAAGCCTGACTTGCGTGTACAAATATAACTACGGCTGAAATCCAACTTGTGTTTCTAATAATATCGCTAACGCTTAGAAAGCCTAACTTGCGTGTACAAATATAACTACGGCTGAAATCCAGACTTCGTGGATGTATTACTTCGAAATCTAACTTGTGTTTATAATAATATCGCTAACGCTTTGAAACCCTAACTTGCGTGTACAAATACAGCTACGGCCGAAATCCAGACTTCGTGGATGTAATACTTCGAAATCTAACTTGTGTTTATAATAATATCGCTAACGCTTTGAAAGCCTGACTTGCGTGTACAAATATAACTACGGCTGAAATCCAGACTTCGTGGATGTATTACTTCGAAATCTAACTTGTGTTTATAATAATATCGCTAACGCTTTGAAAGCCTAACTTGCGTGTACAAATATAACTACGGCTGAAATCCAGACTTCGTGGATGTATTACTTCGAAATTTAACTTGTGTTTATAATAATATCGCTAACGCTTTGAAAGCCTAACTTGCGTGTACAAATATAACTACGGCTGAAATCCAGACTTCGTGGATGTATTACTTCGAAATCTAACTTGTGTTTATAACTATATCGCTATCGCTTTGAAAGCCTGACTTGCGTGTACAAATATAACTACGGCTGAAATCCAGACTTCGTGGATGTATTACTTCGAAATCTAACTTGTGTTTATAACTATATCGCTAACGCTTTGAAAGCCTGACTTGCGTGTACAAATATAACTACGGCTGAAATCCAGACTTCGTGGATGTATTACTTCGAAATCTAACTTGTGTTTATAATAATATCGCTAACGCTTTGAAAGCCTGACTTGCGTGTACAAATATAGCTACGGCTGAAACCCAGACTTCGTGGATGTATTACTTCGAAATCTAACTTGTGTTTATAATAATATCGCTAACGCTTTGAAAGCCTAACTTGCGTGTACAAATATAACTACGGCTGAAATCCAGACTTCGTGGATATATTACTTCGAAATTTAACTTGTGTTTATAACTATATCGCTATCGCTTTAAAAGCCTGACTTGCGTGTACAAATATAACTACGGCTGAAATCCAGACTTCGTGGACGTATTACTTCGAAATCTAACTTGTGTTTATAATAATATCGCTAACGCTTTGAAAGCCTGACTTGCGTGTACAAATATAACTACGGCTGAAATCCAGACTTCGTGGATGTATTACTTCGAAATCTAACTTGTGTTTATAATAATATCGCTAACGCTTTGAAAGCCTGACTTGCGTGTACAAATATAACTACGGCTGAAATCCAGACTTCGTGGATGTATTACTTCGAAATCTAACTTGTGTTTATAATAATATCGCTATCGCTTTGAAAGCCCGACTTGCGTGTACAAATATAGCTACGGCTGGAACCCAGACTTCGAAGCTGTATTACTTCGAAATCTAACTTGTGTTTATAATAATATCGCTATCGCTTTGAAAGCCCGACTTGCGTGTACAAATATAGCTACGGCTGGAACCCAGACTTCGTAGCTGTATTACTTCGAAATCTAACTTGTGTTTATAATAATATCGCTATCGCTTTGAAAGCCCGACTTGCGTGTACAAATATAGCTACGGCTGAAATCCAGACTTCGTGGATGTATTACTTCGAAATCTAACTTGTGTTTATAATAATATCGCTATCGCTTTGAAAGCCTGACTTGCGTGTACAAATATAACTACGGCTGAAACCCAGACTTCGTGGATGTATTACTTCGAAATCTAACTTGTGTTTATAATAATATCGCTAACGCTTTGAAAGCCTAACTTGCGTGTACAAATATAACTACGGCTGAAATCCAGACTTCGTGGATGTATTACTTCGAAATCTAACTTGTGTTTATAATAATATCGCTAACGCTTTGAAAGCCTAACTTGCGTGTACAAATATAACTACGGCTGAAATCCAGACTTCGTGGATGTATTACTTCGAAATTTAACTTGTGTTTATAACTATATCGCTATCGCTTTGAAAGCCTGACTTGCGTGTACAAATATAACTACGGCTGAAATCCAGACTTCGTGGATGTATTACTTCGAAATCTAACTTGTGTTTATAATAATATCGCTAACGCTTTGAAAGCCTAACTTGCGTGTACAAATATAACTACGGCTGAAATCCAGACTTCGTGGATGTATTACTTCGAAATTTAACTTGTGTTTATAACTATATCGCTATCGCTTTGAAAGCCTGACTTGCGTGTACAAATATAACTACGGCTGAAATCCAGACTTCGTGGATGTATTACTTCGAAATTTAACTTGTGTTTATAATAATATCGCTAACGCTTTGAAAGCCTGACTTGCGTGTACAAATATAACTACGGCTGAAATCCAGACTTCGTGGATGTATTACTTCGAAATTTAACTTGTGTTTATAATAATATCGCTAACGCTTTGAAAGCCTGACTTGCGTGTACAAATATAGCTACGGCTGAAATCCAGACTTCGTGGATGTATTACTTCGAAATTTAACTTGTGTTTATAATAATATCGCTAACGCTTTGAAAGCCTAACTTGCGTGTACAAATATAGCTACGGCTGAAATCCAGACTTCGTGGATGTATTACTTCGAAATCTAACTTGTGTTTATAATAATATCGCTAACGCTTTGAAAGCCTAACTTGCGTGTACAAATATAACTACGGCTGAAATCCAGACTTCGTGGATGTATTACTTCGAAATTTAACTTGTGTTTATAACTATATCGCTATCGCTTTGAAAGCCTGACTTGCGTGTACAAATATAACTACGGCTGAAATCCAGACTTCGTGGATGTATTACTTCGAAATCTAACTTGTGTTTATAATAATATCGCTATCGCTTTGAAAGCCTGACTTGCGTGTACAAATATAACTACGGCTGAAATCCAGACTTCGTGGATGTATTACTTCGAAATTTAACTTGTGTTTATAACTATATCGCTATCGCTTTGAAAGCCTGACTTGCGTGTACAAATATAGCTACGGCTGAAACCCAGACTTCGTGGATGTATTACTTCGAAATCTAACTTGTGTTTATAATAATATCGCTAACGCTTTGAAAGCCTAACTTGCGTGTACAAATATAACTACGGCTGAAATCCAGACTTCGTGGATATATTACTTCGAAATTTAACTTGTGTTTATAACTATATCGCTATCGCTTTAAAAGCCTGACTTGCGTGTACAAATATAACTACGGCTGAAATCCAGACTTCGTGGACGTATTACTTCGAAATCTAACTTGTGTTTATAATAATATCGCTAACGCTTTGAAAGCCTGACTTGCGTGTACAAATATAACTACGGCTGAAATCCAGACTTCGTGGATGTATTACTTCGAAATCTAACTTGTGTTTATAATAATATCGCTAACGCTTTGAAAGCCTGACTTGCGTGTACAAATATAACTACGGCTGAAATCCAGACTTCGTGGATGTATTACTTCGAAATCTAACTTGTGTTTATAATAATATCGCTATCGCTTTGAAAGCCCGACTTGCGTGTACAAATATAGCTACGGCTGGAACCCAGACTTCGAAGCTGTATTACTTCGAAATCTAACTTGTGTTTATAATAATATCGCTATCGCTTTGAAAGCCCGACTTGCGTGTACAAATATAGCTACGGCTGGAACCCAGACTTCGTAGCTGTATTACTTCGAAATCTAACTTGTGTTTATAATAATATCGCTATCGCTTTGAAAGCCCGACTTGCGTGTACAAATATAGCTACGGCTGGAACCCAGACTTCGTAGCTGTATTACTTCGAAATCTAACTTGTGTTTATAATAATATCGCTATCGCTTTGAAAGCCCGACTTGCGTGTACAAATATAGCTACGGCTGAAACCCAGACTTCGTGGCTGTATTACTTCGAAATCTAACTTGTGTTTATAATAATATCGCTAACGCTTTGAAAGCCTAACTTGCGTGTACAAATATAACTACGGCTGAAATCCAGACTTTGTGGATGTATTACTTCGAAATCTAACTTGCGTATATAATAATATCGCTAACGCTTTGAAAGCCTAACTTGCGTGTACAAATATAACTACGGCTGAAATCCAGACTTCGTGGATATATTACTTCGAAATTTAACTTGTGTTTATAACTATATCGCTATCGCTTTGAAAGCCTGACTTGCGTGTACAAATATAACTACGGCTGAAATCCAGACTTCGTGGATGTATTACTTCGAAATCTAACTTGTGTTTATAATAATAT